CTGTGTTTACCATTGTGACATTTTTCTTTTGAATTTAGTTTACTAATGAAATAACCACAACACGTGTTGGTAAAATCTAGCGGAAACCTATGTAATAACCAATCACAAAGTGACAACATTTAGGCCGGTATTCATGACCTAGTTCTCGTGCTTAAACTCAGATTCTGTGCTCGATCCTAATTTCTTGTTTCGGGAATAAATTATTAAAAAACCCACTTATTATCAATGATTTAAAAGAATTTAGGAAATACTTACTGTTTATTTACACTTAACTCTTTGGCGGTGTGACATGCTTTAAGCAAGTTACAAGATAGTTGATGTGAGTACAGAGTTCATGCTGGAGTATGAGAACGGTTTCACAAATACGGGCCCAGGGTTTGGTACAACGCGAGGTAATTAATTAGCATGCATCGCTCTCGTATCAAATCATATGACGTTCCTTTCACAAACAAGCGAGGCAGAACGGACACACAGGACAAGTTAGAGGTCAAAGATGACGTCATATCAACTTTAGAGGACCCCGAGCTATCCATTGACCCAGCCACAGTTACGCCTGTCCACAGAACTATTGTTGTAATCCCAGACATAAATAATTTGATGGCGGGGTCACCAATCCTCAGTGACACAAACTATAGTTGTGGCCTTTCTATCACTAGTCAGACTGTTAACAGAGTTTAACACAGAAAATTCTCAACCCACGGTAAGGTTTTTGAAGCTTTGCACGAGGTTGTGCCGAGTGCTCACCTTCAAAAATCGTATCCCGAGGGTCCAGACCTCACTGTCTGCATCACACAGGACTGATTAATTATTTACCTCCCACACAGTTGCAAGGGTGATCCCAATGCGACGAGTCATCGTCAAACGCTCATGAACTGTGTGAAAAAAACTAATTAATGACGCTACCTTGGTTACACTGCATAAAGTGATGACTCGAGGAAGACGTTTTCAGAGTAACAGCGCGTTTGAGCTGTCTTCTCCTAGGTAGCTGGTAAACCGGGAATGATCACCTTCTCTCTCACTCCAGCCCCTCTCCATTTTTCCATCAACAACGATCTCTGTGTATTAACTTCAATCTTATCGTTTATCTGTCTAATATAAAGCTATCCATTCCTATAATAACCTTAACCATATAATAAAGAGCACGTGTCTGGTTTCCCTAATCTAGTCGGCTAAGTACGTACGGCAGGAATTCACAGAAGGACTCGGAGTGACACAGAAGAAAGACAAACGCGGCACGGGATGTGATTGAACTTTAGAAAAACAGAAGGATATATGTGTGTATAGATGAGGTATAAAATGAAATTAATTGAAAAAATGATAATGTTTTGGTATAATCTAGTCACTTGTCATGATAAGCTCTCAGGCAAAATTTACAAAATCATGTACAAGTTACAGGAAAATAACGCCATTAAGTTTAAATGGTTGCAAAATATAAAGAATTACTAGGTAACTCGGGAATGAACGATGTATGGATATTCCAAGAAACATGTACTGTTAGCAAGCCGCTCCTGAAAAATATACTTAAATCTAAGTTACAGGATCAAGTTATTCAAAAATGGAATTATGACGTCACAATATCGTCCAGAAGGAATACCTAAAAGGCTGTATTGCGTATTTGTAGATTACAGCAAAGCTTTTGATAGTGTAACACATGATAAACTTTGGTATAAACTTTGGAAAAGTGGTGTTAGTGGCAGACTGCTAAANCACAGGAAGATGGACAGGTGTACCAAGGGAAACTAGAATATGTCCTCTCTGTAACATCGATGTTGGCGACGAATTCCATTATTTACTTATTTGTAATAACAGTCAGATCACGGAACTGAGGCAAAAATATATACCTAAGTATTACTATAATTATCCGACGACCGTGAAAATGAAAGGAATGTTTCAAATATGCAACACTGTTCTCCTTAAAAAAGTTTGTAGATTTCTAGAAACAACATTGAAAATATTTATTATGCTGTAAATCCTGTTATATCATAAGTTATACAGAATAAGATGTTGTATTTGTATTAATGTGACCTCTTGTACCACACTAAAGTGTGGCTGAGTGAAATAAAAACTTGTGAAAACTTGCGAATTACTTACGCCGCCGACACGCTTAGGAAAATCACACATGCAATCTCAAGTAAATATCTCAAAAACTATACGTTGGTGTGCCTAACCCCATTCTTACCTATTTTGCTGTAGCCCAATTATAACTTGAAAATGTTCCTATATAAAACCTTTTTAGGCTTTCACGTGACACTAATTTTGTATATATGTATAGGTTACGGAAAGGACCTAAGTAAGTTGACTTTTGTTTGGAATATAATTTATTTAAACTAAAACATCAAGAAAGCTGATGTTTTTATGTTATTTATTGAGATACTGGACAGATTTCCAGAGTCATCGTCGCAGGACGTAAATAATAATTATCCTGCTAACGGTCAAATATGTGGTAAGGTTCCTCAGATCTCGGTCCTATCGGCGTGACTCCACGTGATCGACTCGTTAGAGAACAAGAACCATTATAACTAATACTCTAGACATCTACTGCTAAGTCGTTAAAATTATTTTGTTTGGAAATACTTTACTTTCGGTTAAAATTAATACAACAATTTTTAGACATGTGCATCATTACATCAAATCCAGCAATAGGTTTTGACAACTATAATTATTTTCCTCATTTTTATTTATTTGATTCATTATTTGGCCTGATTTCTTTGTTACATTGATATTGTTCATTATGAAATTACTCTACCAGGCTACATGTCATGAAATTGGTATAATTTATAATTTAGCCCCCGCCCCCCCCCCCCCCCCCCCCCCCTTCCTTCTCCACCCTATCATTCTCGGGCCCGTTCCTCCAAAAACATATATATTCATTATTTTTTACCATATGTATTGAGGAGAGGACTGTACAAATAATAAGGAAAACGCACACTGTCACGGTATTGTTATTGATGATGCTGAATGATTAACACTGAGTGCAAAAAAAAAAAAAAAAAAAAAAAAAAAAAAAGGACTGTATTAAGATGAAATAACTTGTTGTCCAATCCATTTGTATATTTGTACAATAAAGTATGTTTAAACTACTGTTAAGTCGTAGCTCTAAAAAAGGCTGTTCAAATTACATGTACAAGCACGGAGTTTGCTATCCAAGTCCGTGTTACAAGTCACGGTTATGTCCCCTGGCATTATCTCGTGGAGTTATAATAAATGAAGCAGTCCCTAAACGACACCGATCAAGTCATTTCCTCCGTCATCGCCTTCACAAACCACATCATTTGTCTCCGCCACGTGAATCAGTGACCCCGGCCTGTGGCGTTACACGTCACAAAGGCTGAGTGACCCGCCTTCTTTACACATCCTACACGTCATGTAAATCCCCAGAAGATATCAAGCATTAACTAGCAATGTTTTCAGGACCACTGTTCCACCGACACAAGATGTAACCATGACAACCATGACAATAGCTTTGATAAATCAGTTCTTGCGAAACATTTGGGGGAAAAAAAGATGGAAAAAGAAGTCAATAACAGTGTTCGAAATATAAAAGTGCAACGAAGCCCCCCCCCCCCCCCCCCCCCCCCCCCCCCCCCCC